TCGCGATCACACTCTTGGGAAAGTGTTTTGTAGGAACCGCCTACCTAATTCGACTAGATTTCCTTTATTACTCTCTCCTCTAACTGCCATGCCAGATCCTTCCGTAATGTTTTTGATTCTAGGTGAACGGGTGTGTGGAAGTGGACGTTTTTCAAACGTCTACTTAGCAGATCTTGTCGAGCCGGAGACGCGAAAAGTCGCAATAAAGAATTCATGGTTAGTTACAATTTTATTCAATCACCTTCATTCACTTATTCACATTCGCCTACTCACTTACGCGCTGGCTATTTGTTACTCTGGTTGTTTGTTTCTACTGACCAAGCCTCGCACCACAAAGATCGAACAGTCACTGCGAGATCGATGCGAAGGGCGCAACGATAGTTACGCTCAACAATTACTGTGATGGCATGTACTGAATAGGCCATATGATTATTGGAGCGAGGGAATTCAAAGGTCAGAACAAGCGATTCGGAGATGGCTTAACGAAGAGTGAACGAATGTGAGCAACTGAAGGAATAGATGCACTTAAGGTGGTGGTTTAGTAGTAGGAGCATGAGGCAAACGGGTTGTTATTAGGTCGTGAAGAAAGTTCTTGCGCTTTTCGGTGTTTCGTTTTTGAACGCTTTATTTTGTTACGAATTCAAGCAAGCTGCCAATGAGCTGTATGTGGTTTTGAAGAGCTTTTCTTGTTCTATCTAACAGCTAGGCTAGCTATGTTCCTTATTATTTAGTTGTCATTTTTTGAAGCCTTGAATACGGCATACTCCAAGAGCAAATTTGCATGATTTCCTTTTTCTAGCTCAAAGCAGGCCAGTATGGAGAGGAAGCAGGTCAAGATATTATAGACGCACTTGGCTGAGATTCGCAATAAATATGGTCTGAAGCAATTGTTCAAAAAGCTTTTGTAAGAATAGCGAGAGCCCTAAAGATTGTGAGGGTGGTGATCGGAGATTGGACAACGCCAACGATTAGTCGAACGTTCTGGTTGAAGCACGTTTGCACAAAACTATTGAGAGGGTTCCTCCTAAACTAATCGCACTTGCATTGTGTTTTCTTGTTGTACGGGAAAACTCAAATAGGGCGTGCCGCGACAGCTCACCATTTTGAAGGGTCGTTCGCCGCGTTCTAGCTTGTTTCATGCCATGAAAACGACCTGACTTTTTGATCATTTGCGACGCACGACAAAGAACGGATTCTTTGCTACAGAATACGAACCTTTGGTGAAGTGATCGACCGCGATCAGGCTCTACAAACTTTGCAAAAGTGAAACTTCACTGAAGGAAGGTTGAGGTGACTTTCATAAGGTCAGCGGCTGGTCTAGCTTTTCGTAACCAGGTGGATCTGTTAATGTGGAAAAAGTACTCCTGATAATGTGTCAAACTACTCCTAGAACTCTGGCACATATGCTCGAAATTCCTCATTATAAAGGAACCGGCTCGTCCCTGACAGGTAGCTCGGACGCACATTCCACAACCAACCCTGCAGAAGTTGGACAAGATTGGCTACGAATTAGTCCTGCGAACATCCTACTCGGTAGACCTTTTGCCTATAATTTGTCACTTTCTCGACTACCTGGATAGCTTCTCCAAAGAGTTATGCTTCAAAAACCAACATGATGCGGAAACGACCTCCGCCGGGTTCATCGTCTCTAGAGCTCCAGTATTCTGCACTACCGGGCTGATTCAACGCAGCTATTATTGGCAGAGTTTGTGGATTCTAACAGTCTTTACTCCAATCAAAAAGGTTTCGAATGAGCCGAGATACAGGCATTTGAAAATCAAGGTCCAAAAGCGCAAGAACTTTCTTCACGACCTAATAACACTCTACTATGCCCATGTGTGCACGTGTGTGCGCTTCCATAGTTGATGGCACCACCACAGTTCTGGGTCTTATTGAGGCAGAAGCGCTCGCTTGCTGCTGGAATTCCGCCCAAATAGAAACATTCTAATTCTCACTCTGTTAGCGAACCGTCAGAAGTTGAAGCGTGCTAACCCGGATAAGGTAATAATGCAAGTCATACCGCAGGTTGCTGCTCAGTGTGCGCCTCTCCCAAGAAGTAATTTTTAACTCTCGCACATGATACTTGTGCTTCTGGCTTTAGCCGTCCTGAACTATTTTATCAGATGCAACACGAGCACATGCCCAATGACAATGCTAGGCATTTTATCGGCTGAAATCAGCCACAAGAAGATGTGGCGTTCCACGACAGTGCTGGAGATTCCCCAAGGTTTCTGCCAACTCGCATGGTGCAGAAATAGAATTAGAAGACTCCCTGATACCACAGATATTGAATCAGCAGACGGCTGTGAAATTTTTTTCGAGCAGAAGCAGCTCGTAGGGCCCGAAACGCCTCTACAGCGTGCTGCTTGCAATTCTACCCAAGTGTGGTCCCAACCGAACATTGGCTTTGTTCAACGAATGAAATGTGAAAATGTGTATTTGTAAATGGTATCAAATTGCCATATATTTCAAAAAACTCATTTGAGCGGAGATGGTGTGGTGACAAGAGGGCTACCGCGCGCATGGTCCCTGGATCAAATCCCAGGTCAAATCCAGCGTACGTCAGCCAAATTTCTATAGATGATTAGTTGTTGCTAGGAGCGAAAGTCGCTGCCCAAAACACATCGATAACATGACTCTATGAAAGTAATAGTCTGGGGGTTAATTGATGGTAAAACGTGGCACAAACACATCTTCCCACATTTGCTGTACGTTTTCACTAAACAAGCTCTTAAGATATTCCATTCATACCCTCGAATTTTGAATGCCGAGTATTTATCTTTTTCTTTGATTGTTTTTATATCCTTGAGTTTTAGGGAACCAAAGAACGTTATCATTGCGAAGGATCAGCTATATCCCGAAATTGAAGTGCTTTCCCACATCCCTCCGCATCCAAACGTGGTCACGCTTCTCTACCACTTCACAAGAAAAATCGACCAGCAGGTCAGAGACATTCGAGACAATTATGTGGAGTGGTTGCGTACAGTGTACAGGGCAAAATGTGAACTTGATTCTGCTTTTCAAATGCCCTGCTTCTTGGCGCTGTTATGCTTTGTTATTGCTGCATTTGGACGACATGTGGACTCATTGTCAGAGTCCAAGCTTACCGAGGGTAAGACTTCGAAATGAGCAACGTGGTTAGCGTGCGTCAAAAAAGTTTCCCGGACGTGGACCTATATAATTTCTGTACTGGATAATGACGTACAAAATTATGCTTCCGACAGTGCAGTAAACCTAAATGATATGCAAATTGGGGATGGGTTTGACAGATCGCTCGGCTCTATCCCTCGCAGAGTAATAAATTGTGACTAGCATCCTTCGCGATAAGAATGGAAGAAGGAAGAAATTGCGTTTTTTGCTGAGCGTTTTCGTAAAATCAGTAAACTTATATTCCGTTTGAATTTAAAGGCACAAATTTCGACGGAGATGGCGCTTCCATTTATTTCTTGAGACGCCTCGAAGGAACCTCCTTAGCTTGAGCACCTGTAGCAATTTTGCTTGCATTCTGAGCAGCAGCATTCCGTAAGAGCACGACCCAGGTCGACAGTTGAATGAGTCCTTTCGAACGTAGTATAGGACAGTGCACGACGATCTCAGATGTCTTACGCTCACAGCTTCAAAGTGCAAAGTAGGAGCATCTAAGGCCTTGTCGCTCCGACCGCTCCCATTTTCCATATCTGCAGTATGCTGATGTTTGCCTCATTTTTCGCTGCGCTTTCACTTCTAGTTCATCCTCCCTGCTCAGTCTCTCCTCGTTTCCTTGGCACACAAGGGAGCATTCCTAAACTTCAATGTTTTCGATGGGTGCTTTTCTTGTTTACTGTCAGATCATTTCACGAAACTGATTTACTGCCTCATAATGTGCTTTGCCCACCATACTACTCGCTGAGTTTCCTGTTGCAAGAGCTGCTCACCTGGGCTTTTGGTGAGCTAGCATATTTAGGATCACACATATTTAATAAAAATGAATTTAGGGTGAAAAGCGCACATTGGAAGAATTTCAAGCACGCTGCATACAAAAGTCCTCACGACAGCCCGCTCTTGCAAGACAATGCCTCCTTACATCATTACGCCCGTACTGAAATGATTATGAATAAGATCAGCCCTGACTGCATTAGGCGCTCCCGCTTCCTGCTCTCGAGAGTCGACCAGAATCACTACTTACACCAATCTGTTCTCATCTGAAATGTCCCCCCCCCCTCAGTTGGTTCTTTCCCAAGCTCTTGGCGCAATCGCCACTGCCCCAGTCGATGTGAGAGCGCCAACGAATTCGTCATACTGGTCGTCACTTAAAAAGTATTCTCCTATGTCACTACTGTGGATTATGGGATTCTAGAGGAATTGCGCACGACAGCAGCATAATTTCCTGCGCTATCACTATCACTCTGCTGCTTGAAGCACAACTATGCAAGCAGAAAGGAAAAGTGCGTTTTTTCTGAAAAAAAAATGGAAAAATCTATAATGCACAAACACAGAAACTGCAGGTCGATGTTACGCCCGCCACATAACTGCGTCAAATGCTGACGGCTTGGATGCTTGCATCTGTATCTTCACTACGAAATCTTTTCAGACCTCATGCTCTCGAATAATACTGTAAATAACTGAAATAATAAGGTATAGCATGATCTTTCGCGCTTGACCCTTTCCGTTTTCTTTTTTCGAAAATTCAAGGTTTGAATCTGATCAATTTCTAAGATGCACTACCTCGTATGTCTTTTCACGTTCCTGTTTTCCGCGTTGTTCTCTGTCGCCACTGAGTCTGATATAAGACTGCTTTGACCACGAGAATTGGAATGCAAAAATTAGTTTTAATGCAGGCATTCTTTGCGCTGCAAGCGTGATCATAATACGCGTTTATGTCAAGAGGCACAACTGCTTCCCATGCCCGATTCCTTTGAAAAAACGCATAATGCAGAGCAAACACTAGCGGCACTTCCAGGTGGCAGAAGCAACCGAACGCATCTGGAGAAAACAGTGAAAATACGCCCCATTCTTTTTACCTTTCTGATTCATGTTTTTAATTTGGGCACAGCTTAATTTGTCTCAAATAGAGAACAACTGAGATGTTCAGCCTAGCCCCACATAGCCACTTTGTTGGGATTATTCGACATAAACGAAGGTAGCGCAGTGGCAAGTAACACCGTTACCACGCGCCTTGTTAAAGAGGAACTAAACGGATGGGACTTCGCTCTGACCTATCAGTCCTCCCATCCCCGCGGTTTTTGTCTTTTTGGGATTGTTTCGAAGTGTTCAGAACTTTAATAACTATTCCCAATGAGAATGAACTCGTTTTGCGTATGTTACATTTTAGGTCATTCACTGTTTAGTGCTAGACTATTTTCCGGACGATGTGCAGAAGTTACGAGAAAAAGGTATTCGATTCGACGCTTTAGATGCTCAGGTGATTATGCTACTAGTCCAATGATAGAGAGTTGTAGAATTGCCACGATCATAATAGTATAATATCACTGATTAATTTCCTTCACAGGAATATAGAGTTTGAGTTGGTTACTGGTTTGGCCGATTTTTGCCATTTGGGTGATCCCAGTTTGCAAACCTCTATTTCATTCAGTCCACAATCAGCATCAAATATACAATTTCTTCAGTTGTACTCGTATCAGTTGTTCTCGGCCGTGAACTGCCTTTGTAACTGCAAAATCATTCACCTGGACATAAAACCCTCCAATTTAGTCTTGAATCACTCCGTAAGAAAATTTCTTAACATCATCCCAATCTCTGGTGTAAACGAGATGTTCAGGAGGGAGTGCTGAAGCTGGCGGACTTTGGAAACGCAGTGCATTTCGGCACTGTTGGCTCATCCTCATATCAGGTTAGGCCGAAATTATATTCGATTCGTAAAACTTCATGCAATTGAGTAGAATAGCTTCGTTCTCTCCTCCTTGAATGGCAAGTGAATAAATTACCAGGAAATCCGAATGACCGGCTTCCAATAATTAGGCATTGGGTAAGAAGTTTAGTGATGAGAAGTTAGTGCTAGCAGGGTGTTTAAGCAGGCAGTTCTGCTAAAGCAGCGCAGCTCCGTATATGAGTGGCAAGTGGAGTTTTCATCTATTTGGCTATCTGCGACCAATTTGCAGGACTTTCATACTGTTTTGTTTGGAAAGTGCGCTGGTTACTCTTAAACCTTTTTAGACAAATGGCTCCATGATTAGCATGCGCTACGCGTGCTGCGCGGAAGCAAGAAATTGTTGGCGGAACCATCTCAGAGTGGGCGGTGTTCGTCATAGAATCTCATAATTCACTCCCAAGAGGGACTGGAGATCACTGAAAATAGATCCGAGCAAAGCGTATCAGAGGCATGTGATGCTATATGAACATCGTGGTGGAGGCGAAAATCAAGAAATTCGATTGTCCTTTTCCTACACATAGCAATATCACCGCGTTGTGCGCGTGCACCCGCGTTTTTATACTTGAGATAGCAACTATAACAGTATAGTGACTGGAAAGAACAAATTAGCCCACAGTGAAATTGAGCCGTTTATATGCTGCTTCGGTCCAACCAAGCCGAGAGGTTATATAGAACAGATAAAATGCGACGGAGTGAGATTATGTCGACGACCCCAACTCTCCTTCATGAGTTAGGAGGCTGTGCAGCTATGCGAACTAGTCGCCATGTTCGACTCTCGATAAACCTCGGCATAGTTACAGTACCAATTTACAGGGTGGCTACTAAATATTGGCGCATGGTTTATTGACCATATTTTAAAAGAGAAGCTATTACATCTTCAGAAGTTTATTTTTATATACAGTAAAACATAAAATGCATTACTGAAGAAGGTGCTCGAAATGGCCTCCTTCGGCAGCGATACAGGCTTCAAGTCTCTTCTCAACTGACATCACCGTGGGCCGCAAGTAAGTGACGTCAACGTGACGCGAGAAGATCTTCACACTGGAAGTGGCGCACAATTCTCAAAACGACAGGCAATTGTTGGATCCGGCTAGCAGGCATTCTGCTCGACTTGTGTGCACACAAGGAGCC